ATGTCAAAAAGAAAACAGGGGAGCTTGATATTAGATATAAGAAATTATATTGGCTGATTGGAAAAAATTTAACATTATCAATTCATAATAAATTATCCATCTACAAGAAAGTACTGAGGCCAGAATGGGTATATAGGTGCCAACTCTGGAGCTGTACCAAAGCTAGTAATCTACATGTTACCCAGAGATTTCAAAACAAAGTACTGAGAAACATTGTTGATGCTCCTTGGTATATCCGTAACAGCAACCACCACCAAGACCTGGGTATGGAAACTGTGATCGAAATATTCAAGAGAACAGCAGCAAGTCACGAGCAGAGGCTGCATAGTCATTTGAATGTCGAGGCAATCCAGCTTCTTGACAACACTGAACTAAAGAGAAGACTTATAAGGACAAAACCATTTGAGTTAAATGGTTTATACGGAACCATAAGCAGTCTCGTTATTTAATAGTCAGACTTCGTACAGTGACTCGAAAAAAAAATAACCGGACACATGAAAGTCCATAGTTTGCTCCTTTTAGTTTCGTTGAATTGTTCTTTATAATAGTTAATACATTTATCAAAATAAAAGTTTATTTGTAGGGCAAATAACAAAGCTGCACTTTGGTTGCATTTGTGGTATGTTGACTACATCCTGAAGGACATGGTGCTGATATAAAAGACGTGTAGTCTAAAATATTCGATAATCTTTTCTGAACATAATTTTGAAAAGAACTTCTTCAATATAACAAAAAATATAAAATAACTGAACTGATAGCATCTCCTGAGGTAAAATGTTCCAGAAGTAAACTAAGCCTCCTCCGTTCGGATTTTCAAAGTATATAAATACAGTTAAAAATTTCAAAATATCCTTAATAGTCTTTAACTAACGATGGTGGATAATTAAATATTTAAAGGATTATAGTTTACAGAAAATTATACCTAAAAATTATATTTAAAAATATTGATTACAGGCAAAATAATAATATTAACAAAGAATGACTACAGAAAGTTGTTTACTACCAAAAAATCATGTAGTCGAAAATTATAATTACCACGACATAATAAATAGGTTCATGAACTCATTGTTCATTTCAAGGACTATAATATCCAATACTTCTATAGATTTCTTTAAATGGTGATCAAAGCCAGGTGTTTTCTCAAGCACAGTACCCACCGAACCCTGTTGTTAATTCCATGGTACCTACTCACTTACCATATACCATTGATCTAATTTGTTTGGATGTGGGAGTTGGTGTAATCACGAAAATCATTTCCATCCTATATAATTTGGCGATAGAGGCCCCACAGAGGTCACAAATCTCGGGTTCTACAAATCACGAGATATACTTCTGACCTGCTTGTCAAGAAACTAATAATTTTAGAGTTGTAAAACTGCAGGGGTTCGTTTTTTCAGTTTATTACGACATCATTGACGGTAGTAGCCAACCACTTAATGGCTGTTTAAAATACTTCAACAGTGTAAATTTCTTTTGAAGGGATTGAGTTATTCATTTTAATTCTTTAGATTTACTAACAAGAAAATATAGGTAAGGTTGGTAAATCTGCTAAATTTATTCTTTACTATTGTTTATTTATGAAATTTGTTACACATGGTGACGCATTCTAATATATATATATATTATATAAGAGTAAGAAAGAATTACTTAGAAGGAAAAAATATATAAATATGTTTTGGATGGGTTGGAGTCAATAAAAGGGGCTATTAGGTAACTATTTTTTATGTCAAGCTTTCAATTGTGATTACAATCATTTTCAAGAGCTGCTAAAAAATACAAATTATCTTGCAAAGTGAAACTAGAAAAATAAATTTTAACTCACCAAATAAAATTAGTTTTGTTAATAAATTTATACTGCTAAACATAAAAAACTATTTAAAAAAAAAAGATTATCTAATGAATGTTTCTCTAAATTTTGTAATTTTGAAAAACTTTTTTAACAAAAAAAAAATTGAATTTATAAATAAGTTAGGATAACCACTAATTACAAATAAACCTCAATGTCATGAATTGGCATTTAGAGACTTTAACTTTTTTTATCGAATGGAGTTCGTGAACAGCAAATATCATTTTTTTAGGTGTGCTTCTCCGACAAATCAACATTCCAGATTTTGATAAATAAAAGTGCGTTCGTCCGACGATGTCCTCGGGAGCAGTTCCATCCAGATTGCAGATATCGGTTCAGACCATAACCCTGTAATAACTGACATCAAAGTGAAGCTCAAAAAAGTCCAAGAAAGCCCCAAAACACCAAAATTAAATATCTCAATATCCAACAAAACGTTAATAGAAAATGACTTAAACAATGAACTAAAGAAATCAATAAATGAAAACAACACAGAAATATGGAACACATTTAAAGATCTTACCTTGAAAGTGATAGAAAAATATTCAACAACGTTACACAGGTACAAAAAACAACAATGGATGACTGATGAAATCCTGGAATTAATGGAGCAGAGAAGGAAACTGAAAGGTAACAAGACAGAATATAAGGAAAAACAGAAACTGATTAAACAAAAAATAAAGGTGGCTAAAGAAAAATGGATGGAGGTTAAATGCAAGGAATTAGAAAAGTTGAATGAAAAACATGATACGTTTAATATGTTTAAAAAAGTTAGAGAAGTAGCTGGTCTTTATCATAAGAAAACTTCACATACTATAACCGATTCGTCGGGAAAAATGATAATAGACGAACATGAAATTCGAACAACATGGTGTAATTATATAAGTGAACTGTATAATGATGATAGACCCGAAGAACCGGAGACTTTAGTTGAAGGTGAAGGACTAGAAATACTAAAATCAGAAATACTGCATGCTATAAAGTTAGCAAAGAACAAGGAAGCCGTTGGCCCTGATAACATACCGACAGAGATGTTAAAGCTTATAAATGAGGAGAACATTGGAATACTGGTCAAACTTTTCAATGATGTTTATTCGACTGGTGATATCCCTGAAGATTGGTTAAAGTCCGAATTCATAACACTACCAAAAAAACAACGTCCGAAAAACTGCACTTTGAAAATATTTCTACGCATCATCCACAGTAGAATCAGAGATAAATGTGAAGAAGATCAGGATGAAACACAATTTGGCTTCAGAAATGGATTAGGAACTCGGGACGCCCTCTTTGCACTAAATGTATTACTGTAGAAATGTCGAGATCAAAGGAAAGACGTCTTTGCTGTATTTATTGACTATGAAAAGGCCTTTGATCGAGTACAGCATCACAAATTAATTACAATATTAAAAGATAAAGGAGTTGATAGTCAATACATACGATTCATAGAAAAGTTATACTGGCGTCAAACAGCGACAGCTTGCATAGACGGAAAATCAACAGAAATATGTAAAATACAAAGAGGTGTCAGACAGGGTTGTATACTATCTCCACTGTTATTTAATTTTTATTCAGATAGAATATTTAAAGAAGCGCTGCATAATTTGGAATGGGGAGTGAAAGTTAATGGAATTCTGATAAATACAATCAGATATACAGACAATACAGTTATTTTAAGTGATGACATGAATGGATTATAATGCCTTTTAAATGCCATTGATAAAGTGGGAAGAGAGTTTGGCCTAAACATAAACTGTTCAAAAACAAAACACATGGTGTTTAGCCGTTTAGCACATCAAGATGCACGATTATATGTTGATGGTGATATAATTCAAAGAGTGTCCAGTTTTAAATATCTTGGTTGCCATATTACTGAACAACTAGATCTAGATCAAGAAATAAAATGTAGAATCGAGATAGCCCGCACGACATTTTTAAAAATGAGGTCATTCTTCTGTAATGATAACTGGCAACTTCAACTTCGAAAGCGCATGGTTAAATGCTACATTTGGTCAGACCACTTATACGGTGTCGAAGCATGGACATTAAAAATATCCACGATTAATCGTCTGGAGGCCTTTGAGATGTGGCTGCACAGACGTATACTAAAAATTCCATGGACGGCTATGCTGACAAATGTGGCAGTCCTTGAAAGAGCAAATGCTGCTCGCGAGCTGCTTGATAACATCAAATGAAGAAAGATGGCCTATTTTGGACACGTAGTAAGGGGAGACCGATATAATATTCTTCAACTTATTATGATGGGTAAAATCGAAGGACGCAGAGGAATTGGTAGAAAGCAGGCCTCTTTGTTGAAGAATATCAGGGAGTGGACAGGAATAAAGAAAGCTGAGCAACTATTTAGAATAGCTCGAGACAGAGACAGTTTCGCCATGTTAATCGCCAACGTCAAGGGGACTTGATAGGGCACGTTAAGAAGAAGAATAAATCCTTCCTGTTCTTCTTCTTATTTCTTAATTTGGGATGTGATCAAGTCCGGATCTCGACACACACTTCTTAGATAGTTCATTTCTACCACTTCCAGTTTTTTCTTCCCTTTCCTTGTCCTTTTCCAACATTCAGAACCATACGTTAACATTGGTTCTATAACCGACTTGTAGATTGTCATTTTTGTTCGTATACTAATTTTAGGAGACCAAAGCATAAATATTTCGGCCCTGTTTTGACTATGGAAAGACTAAAAAATATAAAGCGATAAACAAATGAATATATAAAAAGAAGGATACAAAAAGAGGAAGTAAAATCATCAGAGAAAATAAAATTACCTATAAATGATAACAATATTGGAAAATTAGTAAAGCAAGCACCATAAACCCAATTCGACTTTAGAAAAGGCCTGTCGATATAAGAAACCATAAATATTATAAACTGTTAATGCTTGTCTAGTAATTTAAAACTTGATCTTAATTTTCTTGTTTAAATAATACCAATCATACTTGTTAAAGTAATTCCTTCCTTTATCATTCAAAACAAAATTATTTAGTCATTGCTACATTAATGAAAATTAAGTTTTTTCTCATTTTCTGAAGTAATTGTTTTTAAAGTAAAAAACGATAACCGCAACAAATAACATATTTAATCCTTGTCGCATAAATATTGTTATATAAAAATCAAGTAACAGAATTTTTCAACATACCTGAGGACACATTTTGCACTGGTACTTTCTCGGCTGAGGACCACCATTCTGCATACCTCCCATCTTGGTTGCATTAATTGGTTGAGGGACGACTAGCAGTGCTGGACTCGAACCTGCGACTCCAGGACTAGAACTGCTAGACGTCGATCTGCCCGACGTGTAAATTCCTGGTGTTCCGGTCATATGATGGTGGTCTTCCATTCCATACAGACCTTAAACATAAAAAATGTTAAGTGATAACAATGTAGATGAATACTATTTTTGGTTAATCAATTTATTTATTATAGAATGGACAATACAAATTTTAAAATAATGATAATATCTGAAGATGGATACAATCTACAGAGACCACTTTTACAGGTTTGAGATTTTATTAAGTTACTTGAGTAATAGATATTTTATTAGATCAAACTAAACATAAAAACAGTGGTTCCCAAATTTGTGCAGTCCATTTTTTCAGAGAGTAGTGCACCCAATACTGTAACAGATACAGAAACATTGATGAAGTATTTGGAGTTAGCAATTAAAAGTACGTGGCCGAAAATAATAAAAACCGAAAGTTTTTACTTACAACTATGACTGAGCTTCTCTCCATTTATGTTGATACCATGCTCGTTCAGATGTGCCTTGTTTTAGAACATACTTGTGAGAAGACAGATGTGAATGAGCATGATATAAACATAAATGGAGAGAAGCTTAGTCATTTGAGATTTGCAGATGGCATTGTATCACACTTGACAATGTTGACGACAATGTTTAAAAAATTGCATCATGCTTCCTTGGCGATCGGACTAAAAATTAATATGAATAAGACGCAAATAATCACTAATCTGGTGCTAAACCAAAATATTGCTGTTGATAGAAAGGATATTGTGCAGACTGCATCGTATAAGTACTTAAGAAATGAAATTCGGTTGGGCAGAAAAAACCAAAAATACTAGGAATTGCCTGGGTAGCGTTTGGTAAATTAAAGTACGTATTTAAATTGGATCTACCCATATGCCTCAACAGGAAAATATGTGTTACCTGTACTTACTTATGGAGCGGAAACATTAACACTCACAAAAAAGTGTTGAATAAGATTCGCGTGACTTAGACGGCTATGGAGAAATACGTCGTAGAACAGAAACAACAAACGCTATCAAAAAAATCTAGCTAAAATGCGAAAATGGAATTGGGCAGAACACGGACAGATTATCAAACAATCTATGGACAAAACGTATTTTCGAGTGGAGACCAAGACAAGAAGCACTACGGAGCAGAGGACCCCCACCAACTAGATGGAATGATGACCTGAAGCGTGTTAGGAATAATTGGATGCAAGCCGCACAAGACAGAGACATGGAAAGAGCTGAGGGATACCTACGTCCAGCAGTGGACGCATACAGGTTGATCATGACGATGATGATAGATATGATATGGTACAGTATGATAAATAATATACACCACCTTACGTTGCGGTGTCTGAAATCGGTGCTAATTTGTATCGGCAAGTAAGTAACATTCAGATTATTTTAAAATTGGGCACCTTTAAAACTGCATCTCTACATAAAATATTAACATAATTTACATATTTTTACGAGACAGTACTCTAAATTGGCAAATTATATTTTCAGCAATTAGTTACCTTAACGGAAACCTGACGATACATAGTAAATTGTAGTATGCGAAACCGGTCGTCGGAGGTAGAATCAACTGATAAGTCATGGTAAGTCTATTATTTTATTTCTTTTTACTTAAACTGAAATTGACTCACATATTTATGCAACCCATTCAACAATTAAATTTTGAAAATACAGAAAACATAGTATGTAGCTTTGCACTAGACAACACCGCCTACTGTACCACTTTTTACTTTTTGAAGGTGATATGTTTTGAATGTGAGTCTCTTTGTATCATTCTTTTAAAACAGTCTTAATACTAAGCATATTTGTTTTAATTTCTTATGCTTATGTTGACCTAAACGATTTTACCAGCCAGCTTTGATCCAAAGAGTGTCATTTTCTCACCATTTAATATCCTAAAATTCCTTTCTTTGTGAGGAAAAAATGTATTAATAATACGTGTTTCTTTTATGCTTCAGAGATCCGTCAGAAGGTCTCCGTTTTTATTTCTGATATTTTGATTATATGCTGATTTATACTGGAAATATATCATTGCCAACACGGGCATTAAAATCACCCATAATGATTATATATTCATCACATGGGGTCTCGTTTATTACAGTCTGATGGTGTTCGTAGAAGTTTTCCCTTGTAGCCGTATATCTGAAAGCCGAAACACATATATCACAGAAAGTGATTGACTCGAAGAAACCTGGACAAAAAGTCTAATATCTCAGCTTCCGCCTGGAAGAAAGTTCTTGGTGGTGAAAGAAATATAAATAAAAATAAATCGTTCCCAAACCGAAGAACTCCATGGTTTTGTACAGAAGTGAAGGAAAAATATAAAGAAAAGAAAAAAGCATACATGAAGTACATGTCCACCAAAACACAAGAGGTATACCATAATTAAAAGACAATTAGAAACGAAACACATGCACATACAAGAAAAATAAAAAATGATGACTGGGAACACTTTTCGAAAGAAACGGAACATGATTTTTACGGTCTGCAAAAGGAAATATGGTGCTTTATAGAAGGCCAAAGAGCGGTGGTCAAGGAAGATTCAAAGATGTAATCCATCTTCTGTATAATAGAGAAGTTCCCCTAAATATTAGGGAAGATAGGCAGCGGAATAAGACAAAGGGATTCATTGTGCCCCATGTTCTTTAATTTAATCATGGATAAAATCATCAAAAGCGTTAACAAAGGAAGAGGATACAGAATGGGATACAATATAAAGATACATAGTCTGCAAAGACTGGTCCACAGCTTAAACATAAGAGCAACATAATTTAAAATGACAATCTCAGAAAACTAAAACAACAGTAGTCAGCAAAGACCTAACCAGATGTAAAATAGAAATTGGTAGCATCAGTATTAAACAAGGATTGGAAATAAAATATCTAGGAATTACACTGTCTAGCTATGGAGACCTAGACAAAGAAGTGAGAGATTATTTACAAAAAGCAAATAGACTGTGTACAACCAATAATGACATATGCCTTAGAAACAAGACCCGATACAGCCACAACGCAATGGCTACTGGAACCGACAGAGATGAGAGTACTAACAAGAATTACAGGAAATACGCTGAGAGATCGAAACAGAAGTGAAGAAATTATTGGCAAAAGAAGTATCGAACGACCGCGCAAAAGATAGAGTGACAAACTTCCATAGAGGTATTATTCCTCCAATGTACAAGCAGAATTGCTTATAGAGAGGAAGAATAGGAAGAAGAAGAAAATTCATTTCGATACAAAACTTGTTTTATAATTATTACAACAATAACTTGAGTAATATTTATTTTCTCAGCTTTTATTTATTTAAGAAAATATATTATTTTCTTTGCGATACGTAACAGCTGATTGTAAGGTATAAAAAAATGACTTTGACTTTGATTTTTGGTTCTGCGCAAACATGATCTCCATATTATACTCAAACAAACCTACGCCACAAAAATTAATTCACGATTTTAAAATGATTAATAGACTTCAACTGTTACTATAAACAGTCATTGGATATACATTGCCGTGTATATCATTTAAAAAAAGGGTATACACACATGAAAATAAAAGAGTTGTGCAAAACTACGATTAAAAAGTATATATAAATGAATTATAAACTAACATATTATGCGGTGTAAATTTGATATTGTGACTTAGTGTCGTTACATACTATAAGAAAAACACCCGGCCCGGGTCTTTAACGGTCCGAGTGTTTTTCGTATAAATCGTACCAGGGCATTTAAACATATTAGTCTTTTCACATTATACAAGAAACGGAGTAACGCCCGGGCCGAGACCGAATACCTCTCGGATCCCTGCTGCTTCGTCCGAGTCTCGGACCGGGCATTTCACCGTACCGAGACTTAGTGGGGCATTGGCGTAAATATATCACTACACACTGTTCCTGTAGTACTCGGACGCAGTGATCCGAGAGCATCTGGGTTGTACTGGTGTTGTGTGTGCGATCACTACTACTATGACGTCCGAACGGGAAATTGACATAGACGTGCTAATAAGTTTGGTAGAAGATTATCCTGTAATTTGGAACAAAAGTTCGGAGGAATATAAAGACAGGAATAAAACAAGAGATGCTTGGAGAGAGATCTGCATCAAACTGGATGAAAACTTCGACCAAGTAGATGCCGTGGAGCGCAAACAATTTGGTGAGTACATTTGGCTATATTATATTATTTTGTTTTATATGTCCACTACAAGTTATTGAAGCTCATATAAGATTTATAAATTTTATTATTATTGTGAAATAAGTATCTATAGTAACAATTATGCAATTTATTAATCTAAATTTTTGAGTTTTGCCACGGCACAGAGCCTTCATCTGTTACAAAATAGTCAGCTAAAACGTTTCGTATGCCAGTCCCAGCTTTTTGACCATGACTGATTTGATGTGTAGGTATATCATCAAAACCATCGGTTGAAACGGTGTCCTCAAAGTTATAACCGTCCTTTTCCCTTACAAAATTGTGAAGGACGACACATGCTTTAACAATATTAACCGCTAAGTCTGTATGGACATTAAGAGGACGATGAAAAATTCTCCACTTATTTGCCAGTATTCCGAATGTGCATTCTACATACCTTCTTGCTCGACAGAGGCGGTAGTTAAAAATTTTTTTTTTATAATTTAAGTCTTTCCCTGCAAATGGTCTAAGTAAATGAGTACTCAAGGCGAAACCTTCATCTCCGATAAAAAAGTAAGGTATGTCTGGATTTAATGAACCATAGAGGGGCCTAGGATTTGGTAACTGTAGTTTTTGAGTCTGAATGTTTTTCCACAAAGAACTTTCTTTAAAAACCGTTGAGTCACATTCACTTCCGTATGCACCAACGTCAACGTAAATAAATCGATAGTTGCTATCAGCAACAGCCATCAGCACTACCGAAAAATAGCTTTTATAATTAAAGAACATGGATCCACTACCAATTGGTTTAATTATTCGGATATGCTTGCCGTCAACGGCTCCTATACAATGTGGAAAATTTGCTCTTTCTTCAAAACCTTCGGCTACATTTTGTAATAGTTCGCTATTAAGTTTAGGCAAAAAGTCGTCGGTTAACTTTAACCAAATAATATTACAAACTTCT